CACCTGTTGCCTGATACAAATACTCAATAGTAGAATAATTTCCATATCTTATGCTTTCTAAGTTGTTTTTAAAAAGGGGGCACCCAGATTTGAACTGGGGACCTCTTGATCTGCAGTCAAATGCTCTACCACTGAGCTATACCCCCAAATCTGATGACTTTTTTCAGAAGTTCAGTGTGCATCTCCTATCACATAGAGCGTTTGCGTCATCATACTGGGTGATGTGAATGCCTTTAATAGTGCTATGCTGTGTCCTCTATAGACAAGCTGGCATTTTCTGAGAAAACTCTTACTTTAAACTATAATTTTCTACTGAATCCAACATCCAGAAACAATGCTCAGTTGCTATTGGTTTACAGTTTTCGCAACACCTGTTGCCTGATACAAGTACTCAATAGTAGAATAATTTCCATATCCTATGCTTTCTAAGTTGTTTTTAAAAAGGGGGCACCCAGATTTGAACTGGGGACCTCTTGATCTGCAGTCAAATGCTCTACCACTGAGCTATACCCCCAAATCTGATGACTTTTTTCAGATGTTCAGAGTGCATCTCCTATAACATAGAGCGATTGCGTCATCATACTGGGTGATGTGAATGGCCTTTAATAGTGCTATGCTGTGTCCTCTATAGACAAAGCTGGCATTTTTCTGAGAAAACTCTTGACTCTAAACTATAATTTTCTACTGAATCCAACATCCAGAACACAATGCTCAGTTGCTATTGGTTTACAGTTTTCGCAACACCTGTTGCCTGATACAAATACTCAATAGTAGAATAATTTCCATATCCTATGCTTTCTAAGTTGTTTTTAAAAAGGGGGCACCCAGATTTGAACTGGGGACCTCTTGATCTGCAGTCAAATGCTCTACCACTGAACTATACCCCCAAATCTGATGACTTTTTTCAGAAGTTCAGTGTGCATCTCCTATCACATAGAGCGTTTGCGTCATCATACTGGGTGATGTGAATGCCTTTAATAGTTTAATGCTGTGTCCTCTATAGACAAGCTGGCATTTTCTGAGAAAACTCTTACCTTAAACTATAATTTTCTACTGAATCCAACATCCAGAAACAATGCTCAGTTGCTATTGGTTTACAGTTTTCGCAACACCTTTTGCCTGATACAAGTACTCAATAGTAGAATAATTTCCATATCCTATGCTATTCTAAGTTGTTATTAAATAGGGGGCACCTAGATTTGAACTGGGGACCTCTTGATCTGCAATCAAATGCTCTATCACTGAGCTATACCCCCAATCTGATGACTTTTTTCAGATGTACAGAGTGCATCTCCTATAACATAAAGCGTTTGCATCATCATACTGGGGTGATGTGAAAGCCCTTTATAGTGCTATGCTGTGTCCCTCTATAGACAAGCTGGCATTTTCTGAAAAACTCTTACTCTAAACTATAATTACTACTGAATCTATATCCAGAACCATGCTCAGTTGCTATTGGTTTACAAAATGTTTGCCATGAACTGCAATCAATAGAGACACACTAGAACCCAACTTTATTACTACAAAACTGCAAGAAATGTCTTTAGATCACTTCTGTGAAAAAGGCGTTGAGAGAAATAACCTCCACTGATAATAATGCTGACGAATAACACAACTGTGAGAAACATGCAGATTGAAGCTAAGCTCCTCCCCCTGTCAGTCACTCCCAGCTTCAGTGTCGTATTAAATGTCTCCCCCAGCACCTCCTCTCCTCATCCTCCAAAGCCTCTAATCTGGCAGCAGTCAGGTCTCTTTCCAAGTCACAAGGCCATTCTCATCACACACTGACACCATGCTGGGGACCCTCTGCACTCTCATCACTGCTCTCACATGTGAGGAGGCTGACTTCCTGCAGCTTGGACTTCATGGTGGACTCATCAGTGTGTGTGTTTCTCTTGACTCCATGTCGTCTCGTTGTTTCCAGGTGTGAGTGGTGTGACGGTGGTGACACAGAAGCCTGTTGTAGCCGTGACGACAGGAGAGACAGTCTCCATAGACTGTAACCTCGGGACTGTTACTAACAGTGATGCTCGCTGGTATAAACAGATTCCAGGAGGAGTTCCTCAGTTTCTAATACGTTTTCATCGCGGCGACAGCTCTCCAACATATGGCACTGGTTTCTCATCTCCAAAGTTCACATCTACTCATCAGTCAACTACAGATTATCGTTTGACCATAAAGAACATCGAGGAGGGAGACTCAGCCGTCTATTACTGTAACACATGGGACACCTCTGTTAAAGAGCACGTATCACAGTGATTTACACTGTGACAAAAACCTCTTCACTGAGTACTTCTGCTTTTTGAGTGAAGACATCAGTCAATTTCTGTAACTTATATTTCTTCTAGACAGATATTTTTAAACTTCTAAACCCATTTATTGAATTTCTATGCAAAATCTGAAATAATTTGTAGTTGTAAGTAAGTAAAATTTATTTGTAGAGAGCTTTTCACAGACAAGGTCACAAAGTGCTTTACATTGTGCATAGACATTAAAACAGTCAATATAAAATTTAAATACAAATTATCAAAAGAGTAAAAGACGTAGGCTACCCAAACGCTAGCATGAACAAATGAGTCTTCACTTGTCCCCACAAGTCTTCAGACGCGTGCGTGGCATGGATAGACCTGGGAGACCGGGATGGGGGGTGTAAGTGATTTATGTTGGCAAGATAGTCAGGGGCCGGACCATGTAGAGCCCTATAAGTTATGGTGAGAATTTTGAACTGGATCCTGTAGGTTACAGGAAGCTAGTGAAGAGAGCAAAGCAGAGGGGTGATATGGTTGTGCCTGTTTGATCTAGTAAGAAGCCTAGCAGCCGCAATTTGAATGGATTGCAGGCAGTGAAGGAGAGATTTATTTAATTTTTATTTAAATTTAAATTTTTAAACTCAATTTGCGATATGTTCAATGAAATCCTCAAAGTTACGAAGTCTGTCCGCAGCACATAAAAGATCATTTTCTTTATCTAGATCTTTTCTGTTAGTGCTTTTTAAACATTATACGTTTAAGAAATTAGAAACATCTGATGTTAGTTTGCGGAAAGCAGCTTTAATGTATCATGTGTGAATGATTGAAGTGTTGATTAAAGCATTTTGTGAAAGAAATACAGGTTTTTAAAAAAACTGTCGCTGCAGGTTTTGTTGATCTGGATTCCTCAGTCCGTTTTTATTTTAAACAATAAAGTTGTCTTTTATTTGATCAAACGACTGCAAGCGACTAGACCAGATTAATAAACGTAGTCGGCTTTAAAGCAATAAAAGTCTTCATTTACTTTTACAGTGTTGGACCAAGTTTGCACAAAACTTAATGAAGCGAAAAATTGAAGTGAGACAAAAAGTGATCGACAAATCTCCTGCCTTTTCTTGAACTGTCAGCGATAAAGGGACAAGAAATATGTTGTTTTACAAAATGCTTTTTATTCAAAAGGTTTTACTACATTTTACCGTTTGCAAAGCGGATACAACACCTCTACCTAACTGTCAACAACATGTACTACAAGCGTGGAGACACATGTTCTAACATGTAACGCTCGTGATGAATAAACAGCACAAAGAGGGAAGAAGCAGATGTTAAATGGTCCTTCTGCTCCTCTACTGTTGTTCAGTGAGGCACTCAGACTTCTTGATGTTTTTCTCTGCAGTCTGGGAGCCCAAAGACACTTTACATGTGTAAACCTTATCCATGTTCCAGTCTGACGCCTGGATGGGCCAGATAGCTGCTGATGTGGAACGTCTGATCAGGTTGCTTAACAGCGGTGCTGGTAGAGATCCCAGTGACCACTGGACTCCCTCCAGACATCCAGGTCACATCTGCAAAGGCCCAGACTGACTGGACAGACAGACCAAAGAGGCTTTGTTGGACTGCAGCTCAGCACTGGACGGAGGAAAGACAGTGAGGACGGGAGGACGGAGGCTGGAGCCTGAAACACACAAAAGGCATTCTTTATATGAAGGGAAGTGAAGCTATTGATGCAAATCATGGCGGCAAAAGGAATCTGTTAGTAAGTTGAGGAGAAAGACAAAAAAACATTTAGAAACCATCAGAGCAGAGTTCAAAAACAAAGTGTATCATTCACAATCTAGATAATACAACGAGATGTTCTATGTTGTTCATGTTAAATACAGTTATATTTGTACTTAGTCTTATATGTATCTTAATCTCTTTTGCTGAAGTGAGAATACAGTGAAACAGAACTGACCTCGGTTTATTTATCTTACTATCAAAGCCAAACTACATGTTTAAAATCCAGCAATTGTGGTGTTAAAACTAAATAAAGAAGATACATTAAAGTTTGACCTTCATTTTAAAAGATTAGTAGTTAATCAACACAAACTCAGTAAATTCATATTCAGACTTTAACATTGATCATTTTAAAGTATGATGTTGTTAAAATTGTTTTTTAATGTTAGTTATCAGTGAGTAGCAGAAATCAATATAGTAAAACATTTTACAACAAAAACTGTCTGCTAAAAAACAACTTGTTAAGAAAGTAGATGAACAAAATCCAACATGTTAAATATCTTCAAAAAGTATAAGAAATAAAAGATTAACATATTACATAAATATCTGTCAATATGAAGTAGAAACAAAAGAATCACTTACGTTTTAAGAAGAGATTTAAAGTACTTACTTGTCACAATCAGCTTGGTTCCTTGTCCGAATACCACAGTGATTCAGTTGGTACACATGGCTGTACAAAAACCTCTCGACTCGCTCTGATGACGGAGTGGAACTGAAAGATCCTGTTGAGACCAACTTTGATTGTCAACATCTCACTAACTTCATCAGTGTGATTTGCTCCAGACTGAATTGTCTCTTCACAGGAATTGATTTGTTGTCCTTCAATGTTTTAAAGACGTTTCCCTTATTTGATGTGTCTGATTTTGCTGAGAATCAATAAATCTTCAGTAGATCTCTGATGGAGGTTTTTGTCACAGTGTGAACCACTGTGATACAGCTTCACTAGCAGAGTCATCCCATGTCTGACAGTAATACTGAGCAGAGTCTCCTGTCTCTGAACGCTTTATGATGAACTGGTATTCTGTGCTTGAAGAGGATTTAGAGTTGAACCGGTCTGAAGAGAATCCTGATCCAAAGTCGAGATCATTGACCCCATGGAGAAAACTGAGAACATACTGAGGAGCTTCACCAGGAACCTGTTTATACCATGACACATAATTTCCATCATATCTCTGAATGTTGCAGTTGAGGACAACCTCTTGTCCTGTAGGAACTGAGTGGACAGCAGGCGTCTGAGTCAGCACTATCGCTGCATCAACATCTGTCAACACACAGAGAAAAGTCAGGGGAAAGGTTTGTGCATGAAAACATGGAGCATGAAATGAATGAATGAATATCTTACATGTGAGAGCAGTGAGCAGAGTGCAGAGGATCCCCAGCATGTTGTCAGTGTGAGCTGTAAACGTTCCTTACAGTCCAGCTGAGAGGTGAGCAGGGCGGGAGTGTGAGGAGAAGAAACACTGAGGCTTATAAAGAAAGTGAGGAGGAGCTTAAACACTTGATTCACTTGTTACACATAAACACACATCGTGTGTGAGTCACATCAACACTTTTCATGAATTCTGTTGATCAAAAAGACGTGTTTGTTGTTTTTGTAAGTCTGCTAATGTCATTTGAGTATTATATCCAGTTATGGAATTACTTTAATAAAATATTTGTATTTTTTATTCAGTATTCAGTAGGTTCATAGTTTTAGAGTCAATGTTATTGTCATTTGTTTGTCCTCGTTGACGTTAACAATGATTTGTATTTGTTTTTTTATTGAAGAACAGATAATTTCACCAATCCATGTACTTACTCTTAGTAAGAATCTGTATGAAAGTTCTAAGCATCGTTATTGTCATGGAGGATGACTCCAACACATTAATCTGGATAATTGGGGTCCAAGAACCGAACCCTGTGGGACTCATGGGGATCAGCTGAGATCATAAGCTGAGTCCAGTGTTTACTTTACATGCCGTGTGTTCCATTAATAAGAGACATTATTATATAATGTTAACAGTTATTCTTCAAGATACAAGGTGCAATTAATTATAACATGTCTTTATGTCATTATCATTTACATGTGAGCTCATCTCCTTCTGTTTGTTAGAGTGTAAATGTTGGCAAACTATTAATAACTACCACTAAGTAAGATTTGAGTATAATGAATAAATGGGTTTATAAGAAATATAAGCTACAGAAATTGACTGATGGTTTCACTCAAAATGTGTCAGTGTCTCAAATAGCAGAAGTTCTCAGTGAAGAGGTTTTTGTCACAGTGTAAATCACTGTGATACGTGCTCTTTAACAGAGCCGTCCCATGTTGCACAGTGATAGACGGCTGAGTCTCCGTCCTCGATGTTCTTTATGGTCAAACGATAATCTGAAGTTGACTGATGAGTGGATGTGAACTTTGAAGAGGAGAAACCAGTGCCATAGAATGGAGAGCTGTCGCCGTGATAAAAAAATATTACAAACTGAGGAACTCCTCCTGGAATCTGTTTATACCAGCGAGCAGCACGGTCAGTAACAGTCCCGAGGTTACAGTCTATGGAGACTGTCTCTCCTGTCGTCACGGCTACAACAGGCTTCTGTGTCACCACCGTCACACCACTCACACCTGGAAACAACAAGACGACATGGAGTCAAGAGAAACACACACACTGATGAGTCCAACATGAAGTCCAAGCTGCAGGAAGTCAGCCTCCTCACATGTGAGAGCAGTGATGAGAGTGCAGAGGGTCCCCAGCATGGTGTCAGTGTGTGATGAGAATGTCCTTGTGACTTGGAAAGAGACCTGACTGCTGCCAGATTAGAGGCTTTGGAGGATGAGGAGAGGAGGTGCTGGGGGAGACATTTAATACGACACTGAAGCTGGGAGTGACTGACAGGGGGAGGAGCTTAGCTTCAACCTGCATGTTTCTCACAGTTGTGTCATTCGTCAGCATTATTATCAGTGAAGGTTATTTCACTCAACACCTTTGCAAAGAAGTGATCTGAAAATATTTCCTGCAGTTTTGTAGTAATACAGTTAGTCCTGTTTGTATCGTTTGGAATTCATGGCATACATCCAATAGTTTATATGTCTTTTCTTTAATAGTAAAGGAAGTCACCTTCCAAAATGTCGCTTTTCTCACACGTACAGTAACGAGATCATACATCAGAGGGTTTCCAGTCATGCGCAGGATCACAGAGAACTGAGACTTAACCTCTTCATTTGCATGAGGTTAAATAAAGACAGGA